TACTATATCCCACATTACTTTACCATGGACAAATCTTTCAGTTGTGTTAATTTCTACTCCCAATTGTTGCCAAGATTAAAGATACGAGCTGTCTGAAAAACTGTTACTTACTTCGATGAGCTTTTTTCGATGAATTTTTCGCCAATCTTGGGATAGTTTTTAAATAGACACGCTTCTAAGCTTCGAGAGATGATTCAACTGTTAAATATAGATGGAAAAAGGAGAAAGAGGTGCGCGCTACCTCCGATTGCGACGAGAAATGTGTGTTCTACGTGAACAAGTTCGTACAGAGAAATTCGCTTTTCTTTTGTCGACGACGTAAGGACGGAAGTACCACGATAGAGAGTGATTAAACGAGCGAAGGGTTGAACTTCGAGGCGCGCTAATGCGCCGGGCAAACTCCGCGGCGCCTGTGCACAGTTGGTTAAACCGGCAAACATTGACTTCACGCGTTTCCTGTCGGGTCGACGGTGTCGAGGATGTCTTCTCGTCGCCGGCGGTATCGACTGTTCGCGTGCCCGATGCTGAGCGCGCGTTAATCAATCCTCTCCGCGCAGTTTTCAGACGGAGGTCTTCTATCGTGAAATTAGGAGATCTACAAGTGACTGATGAGAGCTGCCGCGCAAGTTTCTGTTGCGCTCGCGCACTTCTAATTAATGATTTAATTAAAGTCATAGCAGAAACTGATCAAGTTACAGAATGCAGACAGAAATATATGTAGATAACAGCAGGATCCGCGTCGGCTGCTATTTGAAGACAAGCGCCCCGATGAACTCAATTTCCACCTCGGCCTTTTTTATTTCGCGATCTATTTCGTCGTTGACAAGAGTGACGAGAGTCGGTGGTCGTGGTAGCGATTGTCGTTGCTAATCGACGTGACCGCGAGCGATCTCGCGCCGATGCCACAAGTCGCGCGTATACACACGGCGAGCGACCGGAATGTAAATCAAAAGCGGTTTCGTAACTCCTCCCCGGTGGCTGAATGCGGCGCGCGCTGGAAGGCCTTAATTCGTTTACGACTTGCAAAACGAGCCTTCTGGGAGCGCGCAACTGGTAGCCAAACAGTTTGCGCGCCGCCACGCACCCCCGTGCTACGTCCCCAAGGGTGCAACAGCGGTGTGCCCAATCCCGCGACATGCGTCGGTCCCGCTCGCACAGACGACGACGGTAGCGGGGAATCTAAAGATCCCAAGTTCCCGCACGCGAGACATCATTAAGAGCTTGTCTAGAGACAAGTGTTCGAGGTAGCCTCTGACCATTTGACGAATCAATCATTATTCAATTAATTTGGAAAATTGAATTGGTGTGAGAAACGACATATTGTCAGAGCCAAATGGCTTGACGTTCATCGCTAAATTCGTCATCGCGGATCGCGAGAAGAGAGAAAACAGCTGACTGCGTTCGAATTTATTCACGGATACGTCGTTAAGCGCGTAATTGATTATCCAAATAGGACGCGCACGTCGTGTGCAGATGGGTGTCGTTCATGTCTTCGCGAGAGAGTGACGCGTCATGGATCAAAAAGACGCTTCGTTCATTGTAAGTCGACGCGAACGCGACGTTGCGTAATCGCCTTTTACGAGGGATTCGCGAAGAAATGTCTCGCGGTCATTTCGTCATCTGCAAATCAGATGTGGGATTTAACAATTTAGAGTGTGACAACGTATGCATCGCCGCGATGTTCTCACATGTTCTCGATGTTGACAATTCGATTTCGAAGCGTGGCGCGCTTGCGGCGTGCAGCAACGATCTTCCTCTGTTTGCTCGGCGGTGAACGATATAAAATTGCAGTGGAAACAAGGCCGCACGCTCTCGCGCTACGTTGTTTCGAGTTCCCCGGAGGGATCTGATTGCAAACGAATGCGGCGGGGTTACGGTCTCCCTTCATAGACGATTAATCCAGTTTACTCGCAGACGTTACCACGGCATGGGGTTCTTGTAAGCCGAGAATCCGCACAAACGTCCCTACCGCGCTTAAATATATTCAATTACGAGACTCGAATGTGTGTGTGTGTGTGTGTGTGTGTGTGTGTGTGTGTGTGTGTGTGTGTGGTGTACCCTCCCTCGACTCTCTCTTTGTCTCTCTTCGAAATAAATATCTACTGCTCTATATACTCTGCTTTACTCTGTTCTACTCCTCTTCTCAGTTCCCTCTCAGCCTCGTGGCCGCTTTTAGCCGTCGAAGTCTCGACTTTCCGCCTCTCTGTTTTGGTCCCTCTTAAGAACACAGATTTACGCGCCGGTGATCCCTCCCGATAATTCTTCGGCACTTGGCGAGTTCGTCTCGCGCTGAAGTATACGTTGTCTTATTATTAGAGGAAACGATCTTTCGTAAACGAGAAAGACACGCCATTCGCATCGTTCCACAAAACGTGTGTTAAGACCCGGAGAGTTATACAAGAGATACCTGACCACACGTAACTATTTTTAACAAATGCGAAGACCAAGTATCGCTGTAGCAATCCAAAGATCGAGAACGAAAGTGTCACGACTTCGCAGTATCTCTTAGCATTTTTTTTCGCAGAGACTAACATGCCGCGAGGGTTAGTTGGTAGAACGGAAGAATAGAGAGGAAGGTATACAGCCAGAACGATCAGAGAGAAAGAGATCGTTCTCTCGAAATAGAAGAGGAGGAAAGAAATGGAAAGAGAAGGAGAAAGAGAGATAGAGAAAGAAATGGAAAGAGAGTGAGATTGAGAGAGAAAAGGGTCACGATATAGGGGAGAGGGTGCGCAGAGCGAGAGAGGAGAGGAGAGGAGAGTTAAGCCTGCAGGCTGCAGACAGAGGCATCAGAGCAGCGGCGAGTGGCGGCGGCAGCAGCAGCAGCAGCAGCGCGGCGCAAAGCGAAAGCAGGAGGGAGACAGGCATCTCGCCCTTCTTTTGTCCCTGGGCTTCGGCCCGATATTGAAATGGAGTCGTTTGAGTGTGAATAATTTGCTTTGCCCGGGCCACCCCTCCACCGTCGTCATGCCGTCCCTCTCCTTTGCCGGCCCGGCGCGACTACCACCGATCGGCCCCCGTTGTACCCTCAACCTCCTGCTCGCGACCCCCTCGTCAACCCCTCTGCAGCACCGTCGCGCGTTATTTCGCATCGTGCCCGCGATAAAGGGAGAAAGAGCGGCGCGTTTCGCGATTTCCGCGGTTAGTCTCGCGAATCGCGAACTCCTCGTCGGCGTTTCGCACATTGGGAGTCGCGAGGAAAGGGTTCCTCCTAGGGTGTCGCGCATCGCATCAGCGTCTACTTACAACTGCGCGGAGTAACATTGCGCTGGGACCATGTAAGAATATATTCTGTTATTAGTAGAGTAGCGCAAGGTCGCGCGGCATATAAAGAAACATAAGCAGTAAGAAAATTGACCGATCACAGTTTGGTTGTTGCTAAGGAGAATAATCGACTGTGGTTGGTCCATTTTTTTTGCTTAAGCTTTATCGTTTCCCTGTGTGTCCGCGGCCTGAATCTTCGAAACACTCGAAAGACTGACTAATTCCGATCAGGAGTCTTTTCTCGTGCGAGCTGCACCGCTGGCATCAATCGTAGGAGGCTCATTTCGTGCATATACTCATAGCTCTGGCGCTCGACGAGGTGAGTTGAGGTGAGTTAAGCCGATGATATCGATCATTATAAATTCCAATCTATCGTCACGATCAATCGGGCGACCCATCGCATTGAGTTGATGCACGCGGGGGAGGTTCCGTTGGCAGTTTTCTCGGATGCTGGTCAGATCGGGCACGCCGGTGAATTCGATTAAGGTGCGAATCATCGTCACGCGCCGCCTTTTGCTCGCGACTCCAGCTGGCGAAGAAATCCGTGCGTGGAATGAGCGACACGCGACGACACGCATGCCACGCACGAACGCACGTCGCTCGCTGACGAGGCACGGCCGGAGTTAAAATTACATCGACGTAATCGTCGCGCACAACACGGCCTTGCTCCGACCCGTGAAATATGACAACTACCCGGTGGATCCCGATGGTCACGGGCGATGAGGCACGCCGTCGATGATGGATGGTACGTGTCGAGGATGTTTTTCTTGGACGTTGCCGAAAAATGGGAGCGCTTTTGCACACCGGTCGAGGTGTTCAACAGTCAGTGCTGGGCATGAATCGATCAAAATTGTCTTTGACTGAAATAATCGGCAAAGCAATAATAGAGATCAATCAGTCGTCGCATGCATATAATTACAAATCATTTAATCGATTGATGGAAATAATTATTAACCTTTACAAGCCTTTAAAAGGCTCGGGCGCTTTTTTCGGCGATTTTTATATTTAAATTTAAATTAAAGCTTTCTGTCAAAGGGTAGACTATGGTAAAAAGCGTGAGACCTCTACCACGCCACTATATAATGGCTTTCCAGATTATAAGAGTTAATCGGTAATTAATTGTATAATTAAATGTATAATTAATCACATCAAAGTTTGATTAATAATTGATTTCATCAATCGATGAAATTATTTGCAATTTTATATATGACGGCTGATTAATTGAAAGTTTTTCATTTGATTTCTTTACTCTGAAAATTCGACTAGAGCCACTGTCGAGACACACGCCGCACTTTCATGTAATTTAATCATGCAATAGAGTTATGTAAGGCAGATCCTTATGAACACGGCATGAAAATACTATCCAAAAAGTCTTGGCGCGTTTCACCATAACACGGTAAAAGTGGCCGGTCCTCAGGTGTGGCGAATGCGCGTTCGTCTCTTTGAATTAAATCGTCGACAGCACAGAAGCGCAAACTCCTTTCGCTTTGCGCGCCGCCGAAATGAACGGCAAACACAGACACAATGCGCGAAAAAGCGCGAAAGGCGGAGTTCGGTGCCGAGGAAGACGAAGGAATCCGCCGGGCACCGCCACCCGAGGCATTGACGAGCGTTGCTTTTGTTGAAAAGGCGCTCGCTTGGCCGACAAAGACGAAGGTGAACGCGCGACCGGATGATGATGAGCCAACAATGATCGGGGATTCATCAGTCTCTTAGGAGGCCAATGTCATCCGCCGACCGCGTCGAACGCCGCCACCCCGCTCGCGGATCCTCCTTAGACATGCAGAACGCATACGAGACACCGTGTATATAATCCAGCGACAGTGGACATCGGAAATCAGTCAACTCGTACAACACAACCGGCTAACCGTTCCTGCCACGATGAAGGTACTCGTCGATTCATTATTCATCTTTTGTAAGACAATAACTTTTGCTGCTCGAGATGAGAGCAAGAAGGAACAGAAAATATATACTGTTCGATTTTTCGCGAATAATATAGGTTTGACTTTAGTTGAGTTTCATTGGATGATTAATTGACTCGATTTCTTCCCGAAAACAGGTACTCGTCAGCATCGCCCTTTTGGCGGCCGCGGTTCTCGCCGAACCGCCGAGGTACCGTCCGCAATATCAGCAACAGAGACAATATTACTTTGCTCGCCAGCAAGAGGAAGCTGCTCCTTATCCCGCTTCCGGTTGGAGACCGACGGGGCCGGCTTTTAATTTGCCGGAAAGACAATTCGCCGCTGCTCAGCAGCCTCAGCAACAATATGTGCCGCCCCAACAGCAATATGGCGCATCAAGCGCAGCTCAACAACCTCAGCAGCAATATGGAGCATCAAGCGCAGCTCAACAACCTCAGCAGCAATATGGAGCATCGAGCGCAGCTCAACAACCTCAGCAGCAATATGGAGCATCAAGCGCAGCTCAACAACCTCAGCAGCAATATGGAGCATCAAGCGCAGCTCAACAACCTCAGCAGCAATATGGAGTATCAAGCGCAGCTCAGCAACCTCAGCAGCAATACGGAGCTCCAACCAACCCTCAGCGAGAATATGGAATACCAGAAGAATCCACGACGACCGAGAACCCTAACAACGATGACGAAGAGGTATCAACTGTAAAAAGCATCTCTCCATCGGAGGTGAGCAAAGCATGAATTCTACTCAGAATATCGAATAATTTCAATGAAAACGTTTCGCACAAAAAAGGTACAAAACGACAATTAAGTTTTAGAAAAGTTGACTACGTTACTATCGAGGCATATATCCAATAGACGTGAATTTTTTTATGAGAATTTTCTGACTAGAAATTGATCCCGTGGTCCTGATCAATCCAATCGATCTTTACAAGGTGATGTTATTGGGACCTAATTATTAAAAAAGTTTCTAATTATTAATAAGGTCCTAATTGCTACATGACTTATTAGGACCTAATAAAATTATCCTAAACAGATAACTGTTTAGGATCAACTTGATCAAGAATATGGGCTAAATTTTTACTCTATCCATTACCTTACGGGGAACGTTCTAATTTCTAAAATGAATTTTCGAATATTATACGCTGACGATCGCATGAGTATCAGAGCGACCAGCTGTCATTTCGTCGACCGAGGCGCAATTCTCGTCGCAAAAGAAACGCCGAAAATCGCGAGCCTCCAGTGGAGGTTCCAAGCCCCGATGTTAAACGCGCGCTCGCTCTTGTTCCCCGGCTTTACGTGATGTGTTACGCAAACGTAGATTTATCATCTCGTTCCGCCGAGAGAACGCGCACTGGAGCACCGCGAGTTGGCATGTGAGCCGATGGGCGCGGAGGCCGCGTCGCGGAATTTAAATCGCACGCGGGCGGAGGCTTCTCTCTCTTCCCGTCTTCGGGCGCTTCGGCTCTCCTCCTCGTCTGCCGTCTGCCGACTTGTCCTAACAACATTAGTATTCGAGGCGTCGTTTACTTTCGATCGCGGCGTCGAGCACGTGCGCGCGTCCGTACCAAATTCGAAGCCGGCGTGACACAACCCGTAACGCATTCAACCGTGATTCGAGCGCTCGAGGTCGGCCACCACGAGCCTCCACCGTCTTCTGTTTGGCGCGGTATCGGGAAAAGAGCAGACGAGAACAGAGGAATCCGCCGCCGTAGAGAGAGGTTTGGAATCCTCGCGGAATGGCTTGCTTTACATACGTACTGCCGAGCACAGTTTGCGTGCTGACAAACTCGTTTAGCGAATGTACCTCTCTCCTTTTGCGAAATTCTATCTCTACTTCTGAAGTATCTACCGATACTTGGGTGTAATTGTAGTAAACTACACCAGAAAACCTAGTTAGAACTTAATCACGGCAAAGTGATTCCTATGTACATATGTCTCTTAACAGAAACACATCTATACCGTGATATCGCGGATGGTAGCGAAATATTCGCCTGACTTCTTGCTTTATCAACTTCAATGAATTCAGCGTTGATCAGAGCTATATTCTAGCTATTGCTTATTTTCTTCTAAATTTCGGATTGTACCAACAGATACTCGAGCTCAGCAATTTATAAGACCAAACCCGGCATTTAGATAAATGACCACGAGTAAAAACAAAGAAATGATCGTCTGTCCGTAGTCCGAGGCCGTGAACACGGCGAACGAGTTCGAGAACGAGGACCAGGACGACAAGCAGCAACCGCAGCAGACCGGGGAGTACTATGTGGCCCTTCCCGACGGTCGTCTTCAGCGTGTCCGATACGTCAGCCGTCAGGATGTCGAGGCCATGAAATACTTCGCCAAGATCCGCGCTGAGAACGTGGAACCTCTTCGCGGACCGATCTACGCGTACGCGCCGCTGCAGAAGCTGCAAATCGTACCGACCGGCTTGCAAGTGTCCGTCGCGCCGATCGCCGCGGTCGCACCTGCGGACCAGACCAACAACAAGCCGCAGAAACTTGAGATCGAGCCGGTGGCAGCGCAGGTGCAGTACCAGTACGACAACCCCTCGAGCGTGGTGCCGTTGGCCAACCCTTTGAGCACCACCTACACGACCTACACGGCAAACTACCAAGTACCTGCAGCAGTGGACGACTCCAGATTTCTTCTCACCTTCCCATAAATCGCTCGGAGATTCCACGCGAAATCTCGACCTCGCAAGTACACAGAAAAAAGGTTCCACTGCCGTAACTAATCATGGTTTACCACAAATGTATCTGCTGCTGTAAGTGAAATTTTCGCTAATGTTTCATGTTTCAGCTCTATACTTTTAAGTGTTATAACGAGACTTAGCAGATTCTTGTTGCTCAGTTAAGTCTTTTCTCCCGTGTATATTGCGTTGTACGTGTAATTGTTGCATAATTTGTTGATAAATATGCTGACGGTTAAGCTAAGCTGACGATGACAATAAAATCGAAGGTAATGAAACTGTTTGTGTTTACTTGATTTATCTCAATAACCGCGGCGTCGCTCATTGATCATTGTTGACCAAGTCACACTCTGATCATTGTTCATTTTCTTTTTTATACAAATTTAAGATTTCCAACAAACTATTAAGGGGATTGCAGTGATATCGTAATGAGATCGATGGTCGGATAATTGATAATTCCGCGGGAACGTCTGCGCGTGCGTGCGTGCACACAGGGGTTGTTTCATACCGTGCATCTTTCTACCGTCTCGCGGCGGAATTGCAATGGGTTTCTTCGGCACGTGATCGCGAACATAGACGTGGACGTATCGGCGAAAGAGAGAGGGAAAGAGAGAGAGAGAGAGGAGAAGAGCACGAAAGAGAGAGGGTGAGAGAGAACGAGAGAAACCCGCCGGCATGTAGACGTGCCTAACCGCAAAATTCCAGAAATTTAATATCTCGCTCCGCGCAACCGGCGGGGTTGGGCGTTTCATAAGTTCACTCCGACACAGCCAATCCCCCGTCAGAATTCTCCCAAAATTCTACGACCACGTTCCAACCCACGTTCAAACACTTCCTCCTCTCACCCCGGTACTCCGTTACACCGCGCCTCCCTATTCTTCTCTCGCCTTGTCCTGCGACAACCGACGTGCGTCTTGGATGTTCTTTGCCGATGGTCTATAGCGCACTTTGAGGGAATACGAAAATCCCGGCGAAACGTTCGCAGGAGAGTTCCTTGGATCGCGCCGCGATCGGCCCTGCGCCAGCGGGAGACCCGATTTTGCAATTCTGCGCGATTCGCACAAATTCTGCCTTGTGACAAGCACCGCGCTATTTGTGTGTTCCAGGAGAAACCTCGATATTAACTCAGACTGAGTTTGGATTCAAAGCCTGACTTTTCTTGTTAAATTTACACGCTCTTTAATATGAGGGAACAACATATCTCCCTTGTTAATTATGAAGGCGCACCGAGAATAAAAGAATGATATAATTCATTTATTCTATAGCGTAGAACATTCCTTGCCTCAAAATGCTCGAGACATCTCGTCCTATTCATTACTCGCTGAACTCAAAACATATTATCTCAAAACACTGAGAAAAACAAATAGTTGATCTAACCAGAATTATAGTTATTTTTTAGCAGCTATACTTTTTGGTTGTAACATGAAAATGGCAGTAGTAATATGCATATAAAGAATTTATTATCACTAACATTATAATAAAGAATTTGATAAAAGAATGCTCCCTTCTTGATCACAATTTATAGTAATTATTTTTTTATGATTATAGTTACTAGCACCAGAAATTTTTCTCTCAGTGAACGTACAATGAAGATGTCAAAATACTCAATCGCGTAAAAGTTAGCGCCTGTAAAACGGTGAAAATTACCACCTCGAGTCGGCCGTTCAAAACTCGAAGGTATCCTATATCGAGCATAATTACGCGAGCCGGCTTAGCGGTAACTTTTAATTAAGGTTTATCGGCAGCAAACCTCTCTTAAGAATTTAGTCGTGCCTAAGTCTAACGGAGAACAAAGGGATACCCTCCGGCGGCCCGGAGGTAAATAGTCCGAAGAAGCACGAACACATCCTCTCGAGGCCGAGAGGAAGAGAGAGAGAGAGAGAGAGAGAGAGAGAGAGAGAGAGAGAGAGAGAGAGAGAGAGAGAG